GAGTAAAGTTGTATAATGAGAGTAAAGTTGTAATATGAGAGTAAAGTTGTAATATGAGAGTAAAGTTGTAATATGAGAGTAAAGTTGTATTATGAGAGTAAAGTTGTAATATGAGAGTAAAGTTGTAATATGAGAGTAAAGTTGTAATATTATGAGAGTAAAGTTGTAATATTATGAGAGTAAAGTTGTAATATGAGAGTAAAGTTGTAATATGAGAGTAAAGTTGTAATATTACGGGATAAAAAGTTATAATCTTACATGACATGTCCATTTTCTGTTCATTTCCTCCTTATTTTCCTCTCACCTGCTGTGTACAGCCATGTGTCCATGATGACCTGATCACTGTTAGATTAAAATGATTTCATCCAAATTAACTGCGTGACGATGAAATCTGTCGATGCCTCCATTAATTACAATACAGCTTCAGTTTATCATACAGTTGTTTGCACAATTTCCAAGTCCTGCTGCTGATAATTTGATGCTAATGTGCTAAAAGATTAACTATTTATTTTAAGCAATACAAAAAAAAAAAACAACTTGACAAGTTGCTCAACGTTCCTCCTTTTAATGCAGTGATAACTGCATGTTTTTTCATGTAAAGGCAAGAATATTATGACTTTTTTCTTGTAACATTATTACTTTAATCTTGTAGTATTACAATTTTATTCTCATAATATTATGACTTCATTCACTTGTAGTTGCATTTTCTTTTATTTAACATCTTATTGCAGCGTAAATTTCATCAGGTAAGTTGCTAAACTTACTTTTAAAAGCTAATTCTTCAGTCCGTGGTGAATGTCCTAACAGCGTCGACATGTTAAAAAAATAAAAACTCCGCCGTCTTTGTTTCTCTGTTTATTTTGCTGCCTGCGCATCAAATCCTGGATATCCTCAGCTGGTGAGGATACACTGACGCATCCTCGGATTTCGAGTTTGTCGGCCGCATGAGGAGCCTTTGAATTGGGACAGTCCTCCACGCGGGGCAGTGACGTACTGTATGCGACCGACAAATGTGCACTCACGAGGACCCAGCCCCTGATTGAGACACAGCCACAGTCCTCCTCAGAACTGAGTCACGCCTTCTGGAAATGACCTCATCTATCCAGGTGACCCAGTTCACAAACAAGGAAGACCTACAAGCTTAGATGCAGAAACATTATGTGTTTGATGGTGTATCAGTGTGAGGTTTGTCACTAAATAGTCCAAAGGAACTTGTTGTTCTTACAGTTTCATCACAGTATTTTAATTAGTGTAAAGATAAACAGATTGCACACTGATTATAAAATATACCAAACATCTCAATTATAAGTAGAGATAGACTAGAGAGAGAAAACCGAGAGAAAGATGAGAATTATGTCAATGCACCAATATCTATGGACCTGACTGTAATTGGTACCTGTAAAAAAAGAAACTGAGATACATCTGTTGGTAATTCTTTAATCTGTTTCAAATTGATATTTTAAAACAGAAATAGAATTTCAGCTTTTGTTTGCCACTCGAAGAATTCACGTAGCTCCTCCAAGGCCGCCCCAGAAAACTGTCCTGGCGTTGCCACTGGTGTCTGTCGGTGTACAGAACGAGTTGAGTCTTTTGTGTTTCYCAGGAGTGAATTAGTGGAGAAGAATGCCATGCTTCGCACTAAAGCCATGAGGGAGAAGGAGGAACAAAGGCAGAGAAAGAAATACAACTACACCCTGCTCAGGGTCAGATTGCCTGACGACAACCTGCTACAAGGTAAACGTCCAAGAAAGGGACACAGATAATCATGATTCAAACAAAAAACAAGATTCATCAAGCTTTTTTATGTGAATCATGTATTTTTGTGTCAGTAAAGGTTTCGTGTGCTCCCCCACAGGCACTTTTTATGCCTGGGACCAGCTCTCTGTGCTGTTTGAATTTGTCCGAGAGTCACTGGTGGACTGCTGGCAGCCCTTCAAACTGATCGCTCCTGGAGGTCAGACATTACAGGAGTCTGAGAAAGTTTCTTTTGTAGAGTCTAACTTGGTAAGTTTGTAACAAGAATGCAACACTCTGTAGTGTCATTTTCAAGTTGTCCAATTTGTTTACTATAAATGTTTGGTGTGATTAGCGTTTTCCTGTTTGTTGTAGGTGCCTGCCGCCCTGCTCACGTTTGCCTGGGTTGCTGCGGTGCAGGATGACATCGCTGCTGCAGGCGGGAAAAGTCCCACAATTCTGAAACCAGAGCTGCTGGAAAACATCCAAACGCTGAGCTGAGAAGCATTGCTGTCCCTACTCTTGACCTTTTTAGTTATTAACGTGCAAAGTCAGTATTTTACAATGCATTATGGTCTAGATAGTATCATGCCTCCTTTTGGTTTGTTGAAATAAGTTAAACAATGTTTATATGTGTTTGTAGTGTTTCAGGTGTGCTCTGCAGGCATTCTGACACCAGGCAACACTGAAACTTGGGCTTTTTGCTATCATAACGTAAAATAGACTGAATGCTGACCTTGAGTAGCGGAAAAGGCGATGAACCTATTTGAGCACGTGGTGCCTGATTGCACATTAGTTAACTGTGTTGGAAAAATATGCGTTGTTCAAAAAGGTATGTCCGAATAAACAGGATTCAGCTGGATTTCTTCTTTAAAACTTTATTTTCAATCTTCTGACTCCAATCAGGTTGACAGAACAGCACACAGGCCTCAGTCAGACCTTGGGCTGATATCAGGAAAACTCAAACACAGCAGAGCAACTCTGCTCAGAAGCAGAGACTCTAACATCCTGACAACTTTCTTTTACTATAATAATGAATTGAGCTTATAATGTTCATTTCTTCCTGGTTACACCCCAGAGGTGTTACCTTTTACATCAGACGTCAGAACGTCACTCAGTTTTGTTTAGGCTAAGAGAAAGAACACATGAAAACACAACAACTCATTGTCAGCTTCAACCTTACAGACTGAAATGATCAGAAAGTATAAAATACAAAACTGAATATTCAATTAATCAGTTACAAAATTTCTTCAACTGTAAAAAGCTCAATATTATCCTTCCCTTTTCTTCACATCTTGTTGGAGTGGAACTGCCCCTTGATTAGCAATGCATTAACTTCTACACATTGTAATGAAAAATAAAAACTGGGGGATTTTTGTTCAGCATCCTTCCATGGGAGGGAAATCCATCACCCATCCTGTGGCCGCACTTCCACTATCTGACCATTAAATAGTTATTAAAGTATGTGGAGACTTTGTCTAAATCATGTTCCCAAGTCTAGCTCACTACAAACATTGCTGCTATTCTTCATGAAGTACTGATTTATTGATTGTCTGCTCAGATGCAGTTACTGTGAACAAATGTAAGCTTCTGTTCCCTGTTTGTCCTTAGCTTTGCAGTGGTCCTGCACTTTGTTAGACCACACTTCTATCAAGACCAACAGAGAAAATTATTTTTTCCTAGCCAACAACTACAGTTGTGTTCAAAATTATTCTACCCCCACTACAGTAAAGTGTTTTAGCAAGTTTGACCTTTATTTCAAACATAGTTTGGCACAAGTTTCTTAGAGTGATCTAAAGGTATTTTAGCCCATTCCTCAGGGCAAAGGCCTCTAGTTCATTGACATTCTTGAGTTTTTGTGCTGCAACTGTCTTCTTCATGTCCCACCAGAGATTTTCTATGGGATTGTTAAGACCACTCCAGAATCTTCCAACCTTTCTTCTGCAACCAAGAACTGGTAGAATTTGAGGTATGCTTGGGATCATTGGGCCTCATGCAAGAACCGTTCATACACACAGATTTGTTCTTAAGTTGTGCGTACGAGTGATTTAGGAGAATTTGTGACATTCACCAATGTTTTCATATTCTAAGATTTTTTTCAGATACGAACAAAATTCAGGAGTGGTCCAGACCTGTCGTATATTTTACCAGCAGTCAGTCTGCTGTTATCCAGACGGGTTTTCTTCACTAATAACTTTATATTTCGTTAGTTTGAAGATATTTTGAGTTGTAAGGAGTCTGTAAGGAAGTTTAGGCTCAATGGGTTCCAAA